TATTGTTTAGTTGCTAAGTCATGTCTGGCTCTTTTGCAACCCTGTGGGGGACTATAGCCTGCCAGGCTCCTCTGTCCATGGGATTTCCCAGGCAAGAATACTGGAGTGGTTTGCCATTTCTGTCTCCAGGGGATCTTCCTGAAAGAAAAACTAACTCCCCAAACTAACAAAAAATGTCCCTCAGGAAGTACCACTTTGTTGTTGAATAATTTCTAGTAAAACTCCCATATATCATGGATAGGATGAACTTTCTAGGGGATATTTTCCCTAAAGTAACACATCCTGTGTGTAATTTGGCAATCTTAACTCCAAGATTTAGGACTTAGCATAGTACAAAGAATCAGTAAACATAAAATGTGGTCAAGGAAAGCAACTGCAAATTTGAAAACACTGCAATGTATGAAGCCATAATTAAAATGATGATGGGTAATGTTTAGGGAACCAAATCAAATGCTAAGTGTGGTTTGTAATTACTGGTTAGGGTTTCCAATGTCATTTGTAAAACTAAATGAGACAGTGAAGTTAAACGTAAAAAAATGAGGACCAGGTCTATGATAGAGGAGGAATTTTGTAAATTGCAGCTATCCATGTTATTACATCAATTCTAGTGGGGAGATGTTTTGCTTATAGACACATATTTTCTGGTGCACAGGTTCAGTTGCTCAGTCATGTCCAACTCTTTTGTGACGCCATGGACTGTAGCCTGCCAGGCTCCTCTCTCCATGGGATTTCCCAGGCAAGAATACTGGACTGGGTTGCCATTTCCTTCTCCAGGGGATCTTCCCAACCCAGGGATCAAACCCACGTCTCCTGCATCACAGGTGGATTCTTTATCACTGAGCCACTGGGAAGCCTATTTTCTGGTAATGATGTATGTAAAATTCCTAGTTCAGATGACCAAATTGTAGTCTGGACTACACAACAATTCATTCATGTTTTGTTGCCACACTCAGTCTCTGAAAGGCAGTGCAGGTGATGGGATCCTGGGAGTCAGGGTCCCCCATGTCCCCTTGTGAATTTCAACCCCAAGAAAAATGCAGCCAGTCCATTTTATTTACTAAAATTTCATGCTTTTAACATTCCCTCTCTGCCCATCTTATCTTTCCTTCTAGACCAATCGGCCTCAATCTTTTTAAAAGCTGAGAGCTTTTAAAAAGTCCTATGCTGAGGCCCTACCCCAAATGAACTGAATCAGATTCTTTGCAGGAGGATTCCAGGCACAAGTATTTTTTGAAGCTTCTAAGGTGATTTCACTGAAAAAACATTGCTGGAAACACTGCTCAGTAAGACTTTAAACTCATTTAAAGAAGAAAGTGTTTTAAAGTAATTTGTTTTTATATGTTAACCTACACCCAACATACAGCATAGTGCTTTCCCCCCAGCTCATAAACCTCTGATGAAGACTGTACATGTGTATGAATAAATGGACAAATGTGTGCCTCACTGGTAGCTCAGTGGTAAAGAATCTGCTGCCAATGTAGGAGACAATATAGGAGTTTGATCCCTGGGTCATGAAGATCCACTGGAGAAGAAAACGGTAACCCATTCCAGTATTCTTGCCTGGGAAATCCCATGGACAGAGAGGCCCGGCAGGCTACAGCCCATGAGGTCACAAAAGGGTCAAGATATGACTTAGAGACTAACAACAGCACAAAGCCATGACATAGAGTTAAATGTTGCAGAAATTGAAAAGTAATATAATGACTGGGTGGGAATTGGGGGGAGATTGGATATGTGTATACATATAGCTGAGTCCCTTTACTTACCACCTGAAACTATTACAACATTGTTAATTGGCTATACTCCAATATAAAATAAAAAGGTTTTCTTTTAAAAGTTATAATGATCCTCTACTATTTTATCTTTCAAATCAATAAGATTTACTCAGAGGTCTCGCTTTTCAAATTTCCCAAAGTTTTTCTTGGTAGAAGCACACCCACCCGTTTGAGACATGATCATGACCGGTCCTGAGTGGAGCATTATCAAGAGAGCAGTTTTTCAGATTACACGGAAATGACACTCCTGGTCTACTCTCTATATATGAGTGATTAGAGTTAAGAACTTAAAAATTTTTTGCCAACAGCTCAAATTCGCACCTGAGTTGGGAAAATCTTGGTCTGCTTCCTGACTTTCTCTTTTGCTCTTACACTACTAGACACTCAACACTTCTGATGCCAGATGTGTGGGTTTTCTCCACATCAAGCAATCTTGTAACACCAGCTGAGTGTCCTACAATTGGACTCAATTCTGCCATTATGTACTTGGAGATAACATCAGAGCCCACAAGATAAGGGCTCAGTCCCACAAGACTGCCACGCACTCCCCGCCAAAGACCTACACACTTCCAATTGCAAGTCTGGGTTGTTACTTGTGCCGCTCCTTCTTTTTTTCAAACTTCAAACTTCTACTTTGTATTGGAATATAGCTGATTAACAATGTTTCAGTAGTTGCAGGTGAACTGCTAAGGGACTCAGCCATACATATATATGTATCCCTTCTCCCCCAAACCCCCCTTCTATCCAGGCAGGCACAAAACATTTAAATATATATATATATTTATTTCACTGTACCAGGTCTTAGTTGCAGCACAGAGGATCTTTGATCTTCGTTGTGGAATGTGGGATCTAGTTCCCTGACCAGCGATTGAAATCAGGCCTCCTGCATTGTGAACACAGAGTCTTGAGCCACTGGACCACTAGGGGAGTCCCTATTTACCTATGTCTGTGACCAATCAGTTATAAATCAGAGGTTCCTATGGCACCTCCTTGGGGTTGATTAATTTTCTGGAGTGGCTCACAGAACTCAGGAAAAGGTTTACTTACTGTCTATCACTTGATTATATAAGGGTATAATGAAGGACACAGAGGAACAAATAGATGAAAGAGCTACAGAGGGCAAGGTACGTGGAACGGCCACAGGCCCTCTCCCAGTACCTCTACTGTTCACCACTGTGGAAGCTCTCTGAACCCCAGTCTTTGGAATTTTTATGGAGACATCATCACATATGACCGATCAATCACTCCTTGAAGGACCTGGAAACACAGAGGTTCTTCTGAATCCAGTAGAGAAAAATTCTTTTATCTTACAGTTCTCTCTCCCTACACCAATTTGCACTGTGTTAATCTGGAGGTAGAGAGGAAGCTGTACTCTTGCCACTTAAAAAATGATGAGGGAAGAAAGAAAACAATGACTTAAGATGAAAATGTTTTAAGAAATATAAAGCAATGCCTAACAAAATGTTCCTAAAGGAGCCATGTGTAGACCTCAAGGGATGTTCATTTTATCCTTCCTTATACTGTCCTCAGACAAACCTAGACAACATATTAAAAAGCAGAGACATTACTTTGCTGACAAAGGTCCGTAGAGTTAAAGGCGTGGTTTTTCCAGTAGTCATATATGGATGTGAGACTTAGACCATAAAGAAGGCTGAGTGCTTAAGAACTGATGCTTTCAAACTGTAGTGTTGGAGAAGACTCTTGAGAGTCCCTTGGAGATCAAACAAGTCAATCCTAAAGGAAATCAACCCTGAATATTCATTGGAAGAACTGATGCTGAAGCTGAAGCTCCAATACTTTGGCCACCTGATGCTAAGAGCCAATTCATTGGAAAAGGCCCTGATGCTGGGAAAGACTGAAGGCAGGAGGAGAAGCAGAGGACAGAGGAGGAGACGGGCATCACTGACTCAGGTGACATGAGTCTGAGCAAGCTCTGGGAGTTTGGTGATGGACAAGGAAGCCTGGCCTGCTGCAGACCATGGGGTGGCAAGGAGGCAGACACGACTGAGCGGAACAACAACAAAGTAGCCTTAGCCTTCGCTAACCCTCCAGGGGAACAGAGACCAGGGGAAGGTGAGGGCTGGAGGCAGGAACCAGCAAGAGAACGGAGACTCTTAGAGCCCATCCACCGTGCCCTCCCTTGGGGGTCCCTGGGATAGAAGACCAGTTAGAGCGCGCAGAGGGTTGGCGCTCTCCAAGGGTTCCCGGGCCCCAAGGATGCGCAGGCAGGATCAGTCACCTCCACCCAAGAGCGGGAACTGGGGTTGGGAGCGGATAGCTGGGTGGGGATGGCCGCGCGGCTAGAGGTGCTGAGCGCCAGAGAGAGAGGTGCGGACGGCCGCGGCGGGTCCGGCGGGAGCGGGGCGGGGCCGGGGCGGGGCCGGGGGCGGGGCTGCGGAGCGGGCTGCACCACAGCGCCCCCTGGCTGCGCGCTCCCCGCCGGGCCCCGCGGCCGCCTCGGGCTCGGGCTCGCCGGCCCCTTTGTGTGAGTCGCGCCGCGGCCAGGAGAGCGCGGCCCGGTCGCAGCGGAGGCTTCCCGGGGCCCAGCCGCGCTCTCCTGGTCCTGCTCCGCTCCACCCTCCTCCGGCCCCCGGCCCCGAGCTCTCGCCATTGGGCCGCCAGCAGCCCGCGTCCCGCCACGCACCCCACCCCGCCGGCCCGGGTCGTTCACCGCCCCCCTCCACACACCACACAAACACACACAGACACACACACACAGAGACACACACACACACACACACACCCCGCCCTGTCCCCCTCTCCCGTCCTCCCCACCCCATTCCAGGCCTCCAAGGTGGGGAAAATAAACTCCAAGCAGAGCAACTCAGAGACTTCAATAAAACGCCCAGGACCTAGAGCCCGAGCGCGTGTGCCGGGCGGCGAGGGGCGCGGGAGGCGGGGATGGGGGCGCGGGCGGGGGGACAATGAGCGCATGAAGTTACCTGCCCGGCGGCGGAGCGGGCTGCGCGCTCGGCGCCGACGGGTGCGCGCCGTGGCTTGGGGGAGTTGAGCGCTTTTCCCCCCTCTTTTTTTTTTTCTTTCTTTCTTTTTTTTTTTTTTCCTCCTCTTCTTCTTAAACAAACCACAAACGGATGTGAGGGAAGGAAGGTGTTTCTTTTACTCCTGAGTCCAGACACCTCTCTCTGTTCCGTCTAAGCTTGTTTTGCTGGACACTTTTTTTTTTTTTAAGGCACAGAAAAGGAGTTTGCTTGATGTGAGAGTGAAATGGACGTAAGATTTTATCCACCTCCAGCCCAGCCCGCCGCTGCGCCCGACGCGCCCTGTTTGGGACCCACTCCCTGCCTGGACCCCTACTATTGCAACAAGGTGAACGCTCTGCTTTTGTTTCCGCCGCGTTCTGGCTGCTCGGTCCCGGGAGGGGGGCGGCGGCAGGCCCGCCGGCCGGCCGCGAAGGCCGATCTCCCGGGCGCGCTCGGCTCACAGCCCCGCGGCTGCCGGGGCGTGCGCTCGGGGAGTCAGTTTTGCGGAGCAGCTCCCGGGCTTTGCCCTGCACCGCGATGGTGCGGAAAGTGACGCGCTTTGCTCCATCGTTCCCTTCCCGCTGATCGCGACTCAGTAGCCCTGCCTAGGGTTGCCGCGGGCGCTGGGGGGCGGGGGGGGGAGAAATTAAGAAGAACCGCAGAATACTTTGGGGGTGTGTCTGGGGTCCCGGAACGCAGGCGGAGAGTGAGAGAATTCCATTGATTTTCTTGTTTCCCCTTCCTCCTTCGCTTCTGTGAGGGCTGCGGGGGCTCGTGGCACCGCTTCCCGGCCCGGGATTAGTTGCTAGGGGAGCCGCTGGGAGTCGGGGTGCCGGGGACCTGGAGACGCCCCCAAACCCGGGAACGGCGCTCCGCAACTCTTTTGTTTTCCCGAAGCCTATCGGCGGCAGAGCCCAGTGTCCGGGCTCGGGTCTGCAGGCCAGGGTGCCGCGGGAGCGCCGGGTCCCGGGGACAGTTCCCGCCCGGAGGTGCGCGCAGAAACCGCGAGTTTGTTAGGAACTGGGCGGGCGCGCCGCATTCATGTTCGGAGCAGCAGCACTTGGCGCGGGACGCGAGCAGGTCCCGGGCTGGACTGTACCCGAAGCCCGGGGACCCCAGGTGCCCAGGCCGCGGGGGCCCGGGGCGAAGCCGCCGGGAGGGTGAGCGGGGCTTATGCGGAGCTCCGCTTGTCCCAAGGATGGATCAGTCTGGGGGTACATAGGAAGGGGGCGACTCCTGCGCTTTCCCGAACTCTCACCTCCCGGAGGGAGGACGCGTGGGGGACCAAGTCCGAGAGCAGCCGCAGGGCCACGGCTGTCCTCGCCTCGGGCTTTTTGGACATGTCTAAGCAGTCCCGCTCGGTGAAACGTGGCGGGGAGAATTGAGTTCTCTGAGACTCTGGGCGAGCGGTTTAGACGCCCAGCTCCCACTCGGTGGACACCGTGCCTCTGCCAGCAATTCCGTGTCGGCCCCTCGGTGAATTCCACTGGATAGAGCGTTGGGACTCGTAACATTTGCCCGGTGGCGAGTCATCATCAAGGAGCTATTTTACGTGATCCGGAGGTATTTAGCGCGCCTCACCCTCAGCCCCCGGGCTCCCTAGCACGCTGCAGACTCGCAACTCCGAGTCTTGGTCAATCCAGGCGCGCACGCGGGAGCGCGCATACACACACACACACACACACACACACACACACACACACACACACACACACTCACTCACACACACACTCACACACACTCACACTCCAGACACACACCCCACAGAGCTGTGAGTTATATCATCCCGTGGAGAAGTTCCCTGATGCCCTGTGTACGGTGTAAGACCAACGTTCGTGTGTTGATGATATCTAGGCAACTTAGAAACCAGAGATGTCTAGTCTGGGACAAGGTAGAAAGGCTTTTCATCCCGCAGGAAGCAGCTCTGTAGCTAGGGACAAGTTGGAGGGTGAGGGAACTTTGACCAGAGAAGTTTCTGTGAAGAAGTTTCATTATTTGTTGGTAACTAGCTCTTTTACTCTAAAGTCTGTTTTGCCTTAATAAGGAGGTGTTTTGTGTATGTAACATTTTATTTTTGCTTATAACACGACTACTAACAAAAATAATAGAAAGGTAGCAACAGTCTTGAGTTGGATAGTAAAGACCTATTCCGCAGTAGTAATTGGAACCAAAAGGTCAGAAACATTTTGTCAGTGAAACTGGACGAATCTTATTAAATTTATCTGTGATTTTATAATGTCTTAGATACACATTTCACTCGTCATTCTAGTGATAGGAGGGTCAGATTTAATTTGAAAGGTAAATGCTTTGGAAAATCAAGAATTGCTCCAATATATTAAATTATTTTCCAATTAAGTGCTTTAAATAATTTTAGTGGGTTGTACTGTGCATTGAATAAATTAATTTAGAAAGTCTTCAGAATTTTTTTTACTAGCTCATTGAAGTTCCTTTTAAGTCACCCGGTGTACGGGGAGCAAACTGTTCTTTTTAAATGCAAATGAGCCACCCTTTCTATAGACTGGATGCAAGTCTTCTATTTTACTTATTCGGGGAATAATGGATTTTTAAAGATGCACAGTCATAAGATACACTTTTCATAGTAGGAAGAGACTTCATGGAAATGTTTGCCTCAGGATGTCTGCTCCTGTCCTTCTCTGGGTAGCAGTCTATCAACTATATTTGTCACTCATTCTTGATTACATTTTGTGTACTGAGTAGATTTGCTAGGCCCCAGAAAGCCCCGGCATTAATGTTTTCTTCTCCACCGTGATTAGCATTGGCACAAAATTTCTGTCCAGTTACACAGTTTGAGCTGCTTAGAGTGTAGTCAGCCAGCGTTCATTTTTGCGGTGACTCAAGTAGATTTGCAGGGATCTGAAAGGTGGACAGAAGTTTGAAAGAGGTGAAATAATCTGTATCTACATTAGTAAAAACAAGCTGACTGACTCCCCCCAAAGAGAGAAGACTGCAAAGTAAAGCCTGTCTCCTTCAGAGGTGTCACGAGTGTGTAGTTTATTACAAGAAACAGTCACTTTGTCAGGTTATTTGTTTTCAGTAGGATGATAAGATCATAAATTACTAACTGTCTTTATTTGAAATCTGTCGACACTTTACTAAAGTCAGTGTGCTAAATCCCAGCAGAACCAGTATCTTTCTGTGGTTCAGCACCACACACTGACTAGACTTTCTCCAGTGACATTATTTTTTTCAATGTCAGGAGAGACCCTAATCCAGAAAATGAATATCCTCTTCCTGAAGCTTTTCTAAACTAAAACGAGGTTGTTTTACTTTGCTGACATTCTCCAGCACTGCTGCTCTATAGATTGCCAAAACACTACTTATATTGTTCAGTTAATAAACTCTGGAGGAGCAATTTTTTGGATAACAGTTGAATTTAGTATTGCTCTTTTGCAAGAACACGTTAGGTTATGAGCACATCATCATGCAAAGTGGTCTCCGTTTTCACGTAGTCCATTGGGGGAGAAAAGTGAGAACAATGCATTGATGTTGGTTATGGCAACTGTGCAAAGCATCTCTTCTTATACAAACAGCCAGAACTGGATGGCATGTTGCTGTATATAGGTCAGCCTTTGAAATAGCAGTGTAACTCATAGACTGGACAGGAACATGTAGGCTCAAAGTAACACTGTTTACCTCTGGCAACTTAAAGCATGGCTTTGTTTGAGACATTGAGAGATGGGTACCATACTGAAGTTTCATCTAATGAAGGCTATTTTAAGTAACATTGTATCCCTTAATTGAACTGAATGTTACCCAAAAAATTGGATTATAGGCACTCCCAATTGGAGCTCAGTAGTAAAATAGAGTCCTCTTTTTTGTTCTAGTTGAAGATGTCAGAACACTAGTTGAAATATATACCCACAGAGTAATAACAGTTCCTTTCAGTTTCTAGTGCAGTGTCATTTCTGAAGATCGTTTTCACTGATTTTATGCTAAATTGGGACAAAGAAGTGGCCCTTTTTCAATTCTGCAATGATGTGATGTGTTCAGTTATTGCTCAGTATCTGCCCACAGGAGGAGCAGTAATACAATTATGTTACGACGCGGCCAGCGACAGGGATGCTGACCTCTGCCAGCAGTGGGAGAGGAAATAATGGTCTTTACTGTCCTCAGCGGTTGCTTTTGTGGAATCAGGCCCTGAATCTTTCTTTGACTGACTTAGACACAAGGAAGTTCATCACACAAACCCATGCTTAATACTGGCTATATACAGAGTGAAGAATAATGGGCATTGGGAATATTGGGCTTTTGTCATTGAAATGAGGAAGGAGAATGTATCATCTTTGCACATAAACATAGGGAGGAAGAACCTGTTTGTGATGAACTCTGACTTAAAATGTCAGGGCTGACATTAGACATTTGATGACTTGTGAGAAAAACAAGATTCATTGTCATCTCTTCAGAATCTCCTTCGAGCTTATTTTCCTGTTTAGAGTATTATCTGTTTTCTTTAATGTGGCAAAACTCACCCTTCCTAAAATACAGGATTTGCAAGCACATTATGATAGAGTCATTATTTCTGCTTTAATAAATGTAAGAAAAAGGAGGAGGAGGGGAGAGAGGAGGGAGGGGGAGGATTATAAGCAATTTAGAGCATCATGCTTGATTAGTTCCCTCCCTACCCCCATAACTTCTAGGACTTTGGGAAATTCATAGTCAATACTTTGAACATCATTAGTGTAATTAAAACTCCCATGGGAGTTTCTTTAAGCTGGCATCTTTCATAAGTTTTGAGGTCTTTAAAGATGTTTTAAATAAATTTATAGATAAGAGCTTTAAGCCAAGCAATCATATGCTTTTGGCCACTGAGTCAGATGTCATACAAAACCCTCAAATGTAGCTATTAATATCTTGACTTTGTGGGATATCTCAGTGTCATAAACTCCAATTTTAAATGTCTATGCAAAAATTTTAGTTATGAGCTTTGGAGCTCATGTTATTTTTAAAATAGCTTACATTATTTACTATTGTCATATTTTACCATTTATTTTAAAGTTACTGAGTGATGATTTTAAGGAACATTTTGATATTTCCCTTAGCTGGAAAAACTAAACTAATACTTAAATATTATCTCATTGGCTGCTTATTGTTGTTTTTTTTAAGTGACATGATTGCAAGGGGCTAAGAACAGAGAAAAATGTAAGGCACTTGAATCTGAAAGAAGTAGGGAAAGTTCCCAGTTAACAGTAGTTTTCCTAGTACCAGAATGGATCTCAAATGTTGGTTTTGGTGTGTGGGGCTATTTCTTGTGGTCATACTTTTTTGTGTGATGGGCTCAATTCAAGAAAGGGATAGGTTAGGGGACTGGGGCGATGGGCATAGAGG